AAACGGAAATGAGTGTTTATATTGGGATTACAAAGGAAACTATGATGTTTTTGTTGGGATGGTGAGAGTATAAATTTTTGTTAAAGTAGTTCCTCACTCCATTAAGGGCATGCACTCGGATTGCTTCTACCTTACAATGTTTTTGAAATTTTTAGGATTTAAAAAGGAAACCGAAGTACCTGGTTACTTTCACCGTTGGTTTGGAACAAAAGGACAATATTGATGCATCAGTTAAAAAGGTTATATTAAATGAGGAATTCTTTCAAGATCTTAATGCTTGTCTACTGTTGAAATTCATGTACTAAGTTGTATTTTATGCAATGATATTTTAGTTCTCAGAGGATTTCCAGATTATGCTCTTTCATTATGATGGTCGTACCAGTGAATGGGATCAGTATGAGTGGTCTAGGCGTGCAATACATGTCAGTGTTAGAAAGCAAACAAAGTGGTATGGCTCTGAATCTGTCTCATATTTTTTTAACGGGATGGAGGGAGTATATGATAATGCTAACTATTAAACTTCTCCAGCTTGTTAATTAATTGTGATTTGTCCAACAAGCTATGCTTTTATTTTCTCTATCTTCCATGTCCTCAACCTCATAGGTGGTATGCAAAGCGGTTTTTGCATCCTGATGTTGTCGCAGCTTATGATTACATATTTATTTGGGATGAAGATCTTGGAGTGGAGCACTTCAATCCTGAGAAGTGAGTGGTTTAACTTTAGGTGCCTTTTTGGTTTCTTTCTTCATTGCTCAGATTGAATTTCTTATTGGACTCGTTTGGTTTCAATTTATCTTGCCAGGTATATTCAGTTAGTGAGGAAACATGGTTTAGAGATATCTCAGCCTGGCCTGGAACCAAACAATGGATTGACATGGCAAATGACAAAAAGGAGAGGAGACAGAGAAGTTCACAAGTAGGTTCCAATGTGTTGAGCTCTCTATCTTCTTAAAATAGATAATTTGCTTATTTTTTGTTGTCAAATAAGGTGTCCATTTGCAAGTTTACCAAGTTTTGTTTGGATGAACAGGGAGACAGATGAGAAACCAGGGTGGTGCAGTGATCCACATCTGCCTCCATGTGCAGCGTACACACTCCCTATCTCTCTCTCTCTCTCTCACACACACACACACACCCTTTCTATTACACATCATCTTGCTGATCAGAAACCCTTTAAGATGTACATTGATATCATTTTCCATGGCTCTCATGTTAATATCAATCATATAAAGGACATGAGAATTATATCAACTCATGATATTCCACATGAAGCAGAAACCCATGATATTTGTGGTTTTGGGTTTTCATCTCAATGTTCTTCTGCCAAACAGTGCCACATGTCTTTTTATGCAAGTTTAGTGCCAACTAATTTTTAATCAATGCTCCAACTGTCCTGATTTTGTTCTCTTCTGTTCAGTTTTGTGGAAATCATGGCTCCTGTTTTCTCTCGAGAGGCATGGAGATGTGTTTGGCATATGATCCAGGTATTATTTCCTGCTCATGATTTTGTCGTTGTTGACATTATCATGGTAGTATTTTCAGTTGTGATTGTTTAAGTTATTGTGACAAACTCATCTATATCTAGAATGACTTGGTGCATGGATGGGGGTTGGATTTTGCTCTCAGAAGATGTGTAGAGGTTGGTAATTTTGACTGTCAAGCATCGTTGATAATCTTCTCTCTCTCTCTCTCTCTTGTGAACTTTTTGGGTCTTTCACAGCCTGCTCATGAAAAGATAGGCGTAGTTGACTCACAATGGATTGTTCATCAAGTTATTCCCTCTCTTGGGAATCAGGTTGAAATCTTAGAATGTTTTATTTGTGTGATTCTTATTTCTAAGGACTACGAAGGAGTAATGTAACTAATAGTGACTCCTGACTTTGCTCTTCTTATCCATGCAAATTTGCAGGGGCAGTCGGAGAATGGTGAAGCTCCATGGCAAGGGGTATGTATTGAATTCCAGTCTGCTGAGATGGAGTCCAAATGCAATACTTTAAATGCTTTATTATCCTTCAAAAACAGTTTTTTTTTTTTTGAATAAAAAATGGGGTTTTTTCCTCTTTCCAAGTGGGGTCCCCAGCCCCTACAGTCTTGTGTGATTCTACTGGGTTTGTTGTAAAAAAATATGGAAATTTTCTGTTGCAGGTGAGGGAGCGGTGCAGGAATGAGTGGGCGATGTTCCAAGATCGCCTAGCGAACGCGGACAAGCAGTATTTTGCAAAGATTGGTAGGAGTTTACATTAAAGAGATGCAAATACTACTACTTCCATGCATCTTGTACAGCGCCTCCCCCCCCCCCATTTGGCTTTGTTTGTTAAACGGCGGTTGGCCAAAACGCCAATTCTCCTTTTGGCTAGAAACGCTGCTCTTGAAGCAACGTTTTGAATGGCGACCCTCCATTATACGAACACAGCCATTCATAACACCGTTTTTTGAGGCTTTCTTCTTCTTCTTCTTTTAATTCTCAGTAGCAGGTGAGTTATAGGTTTATTCCATGGTATGAGTCAATATATATAATACAAGTAACTTATAAAATTAGTTAAATGCTCCGAATATGTTACCGGTAGCTTACACGTTTATTGTGTGAGAGGTCGGTTGCAGATTTCCTCTTCGTTCCGTGCATCTTATATACAGAGTATTTTGTGTTCATTTGTGCCAATTATTAGGAGTGCAACTAACATAATTTTATATCATCATCCTCCATCTATATCAATTTGAGATACAAGTGTGCTTATATATCATACTTAATTAAATTTACACTGAATGAGCATTTGGTACAAATGAATATACCGGAGTAAGAAAATGAATATACTAGCAGTGATAATCAAACTCAAGAAATGTTAGTAAATGATATACATTTGTCCTATCATTGAACTGAAGTTGCACTTGTGCTATTTTTGGTTTGTGGATTTCCTCTTTTAAGAGTATATTTTCTGGTGTATGTAAAAATATATTATATACTCCCTCCGTCCCTAAAAGATTGTCATAGTTTAATATTTTTGTTCAAATTGTGGCATCCTTTAACCATAAATTATTGAAAAAGTATATTTAGTTATAATGTAAATATAGTAAAATTAGGTATATTTTAAAATACAGTTTTAAACTATCGAAATTTTGTAATATATAGGTATTTTAAATTATATTTAATTTGTGGTCAAAGGATGAAACAATTTGATTAAAAGTTAAATTGTGATAATTTTTTAGGGACAGAAGGTGTACGTGATAGATCATATGCTAGCTATAGTGCTATATGGTTTGATCCTATATGTCTCGTTCTACCTGGATATTAGTTGCGTTATAAATGTACGACGCTTTGAATTGCAATTTGTTGGGACGGACTTTTTTCAATAAACTAAAACACATTATGAGAAAAAATTTAGATGATGACAACTCTTTTTCAGACTTGTTCAATATGCACCACACTTCCAAACCCAGTCTTAAGAGAGTTGTATCCACAAAGCAACGACGAAGAGCACTCGACACTACCTTAGGGGAGGCTTGCGCGAGTGTTGACTTCACATCTCTGGGACACCTAGTAGACCAATCATCACATGCACATAGCCGTCATAGCGTGTGCCCATCTTGTCGTAATGTGCTGTGTGGATCCCTTATAATCCTGAACCGCCTTGTTACTTGTTTTCCAGATCATTCAAATGGTGATGATTTTATGCACTATATAAATAATATCGATGTACTTGACATTGATCCTTATATTACATATTCACATATTAATCATGTGAAAAGGCAAATAAAAAGGTATTCTGGAAATATTTAGCTTGAAAATGGAAAGTCAAGTTTTAATTTACTTGCTTTAGCATGAAGGGGGGATTTTAATAACATGAAGGGAATTGAATATGAAAATATGATACTCTGGATGCATTGTCTTCAATTTATTTTTTCTACTTATAACTTACTACTCCGTATTATTATAACTAAATCAGATCAAATCAGATTTAATCAAATAAGATCAAAGCAGACCAATTCATTTAGATAAATCATAACATATTCATTTAGATTAGAATACACCAGAAAAGTATTGAAAAGTACATAGTGTTAAAATACTACGGAGTGATAACAACACCAACAACAACAAAACCTAATTTTTTGCTAGTTGAGGAGAACGAAGCCATAATAATTAGAATCACAGATTTTTTAATTAAACATGAACTTAGCGGTATAAATTTTGCAATTCGAATAACATGTAAATTTTACAACTCATAACCTTAGTAGATCATTTACTTGACTAATGACTCTTGACATAGCGTAATAAGAAAAGTTCATAATGATTTCTCAAAACAACATTTTAAATTAACACTAATATTCTATATTATTTTTATGATGATGATTAAACTTAAGATGGAAACAAGCTCGATTCCTTTTGACACCAAATACAATATCTTATTATGACACTCATTAATTTGAGAATCTAATAAATTTAAGAGGTGTGGACTCGGTGACCAAAATGGAGAAACTGACTTGTTATTGTTAGGATAGGGAGCACCGTCCCCCGTCCGTGAGTCGGCATACTCGTGGAGAATTCTCCGACACCACCGATCAAAACTATTCATTAAAATGGAAAGGGATAAAGAACCACACCTCTTGATGGGGACGAGGGAAGGGGAGAAGAGATATGTGACATGACACTGATGTGGCTAATAAAAAGAATATGAGTGATAAAGACTATGACCATATTTTCTGCACCTGATCTGATTGATTTTGTTTTGATTAGAATAAATTCTAATCTTATCTGGTCTCATTTGATATGAATGTAATTATATTTAAAGATACTTTTGATATGATTTGATATAATCTGATTCCAATAAGAGTAAGTAATAAGTAAAAAAAAATAAGTTGAGAAGAATATGATTTATATCCCATGGCCGGATACTATTTTCGATATCGAAGTGCTCTTACTTTGCTCTCCCAAGTGACAATTTACTCTCAAATACGAAATTGTGTAATACCCCATATTATAGAGTACAAAAAAATTGATAGTTTGATACTACTACTCACAAAATCTTTCTTTGTTTCTCAAAGGTAGGAGCTTTGTACAGTTGACAAAAATAGAGTGCCAAGAGATAGACTTGAGAGAGCGCTCGGGTACATGACTCATCCTTTTTTTTTTATTTGCTTCTCAAAAGGTAAATGCTTTTCTTGCCAAACGAGCCACTACAATCAGAGGCATACCAGTGCTCAGTGTATGTATGCAATCCGTAATCCGTATAATACGTTTCTTTTGCAGGAGTAGAATATACTGAGTAAATAAAAAACAATAAAGTAAATCATTGAATAAAACGGAAAAAATCCCCCAACCGGAGATGGGGCGGCTCTCCGTCGGCGCACTGGCTGCCTGATCGGGAAGTTCATCTCGCCGATTTCCGACGCCGTTGTCCACATCTTCATGAGCACGCGATTCCGAAATTGTATAGTATTTGCTTCATTTTCTTCACCCACTTTCTCTTTTTCTTTAAATGTACCATTGAATTGCCCACGCACTTGAAATTCGAGCAGAGTGGAGTTTCCTCCGGGAGTAGGGTTTCTGGAAATTATTTTCGCCTGGGTTTTTATTCCTTTCTTGGCATTCAAAAGTTTTATTCTCCTGCCAATTTGAACTCTACGCAGAAAAATTCGATCTTTTTTTTTTTGCGGATTTCTGATCAGAGAAATTGTTGTTTAATATTCCAGTTGATTTGAATCGAGGGGGGAGGAAATGAGAGAGATGATTCATCATTGGGAAGTCGTCTTTAGCTTGGTGCTTTTGCTATCTGGTACCCATTTTCTCATTTTCCAGCAGTTTATTGTCTGTTCTTGTTCCTGTTGTGTACTGTGTGTGAGTGAATTTTCCTGATAGTAAAAACATATGATAGTTTTTATCAAAGTAATATATCTGCTTAAAATACAGGAAATTTGCAAAATTTTTATTTCCGGGCAAAATGGAAAATATTAAATCTCGAAAAGGTTGCTTGCATTTTCCACTTTCTTCTAGTTCTAGCCTTCTACGAAGTTCATAGATATCAGAGTTCATGTCTTAGATGTTTTACGGGCAGAAGCTGCATTACAGTTGCATTGATTATAATGCAATTCATTTTGAAATTGATATATGTTCTTGCATATCTTCTACTCCCTCTGTCTCATATAAAGAGTTATATTTCTCCAGTGTGCAATATTTTAGTTTTGTTGAGGTGCAGCTAGGACTCCTAGGAGAAATCCTTGAATATAGTTATATTTTTAAAAATAGTTGTTTGTTTAACTAACTTTAACACACTCTGTATTTAATTTTTTAGGCACACTTTTTGCATTTAAAAAATCTGATACAATGAAAATTAGCTTTTTTTTTCCTTCAAATTTGACTGTTTTTATGGGACAAGAATATGTTCAGAAAAGGACTCATTTTATGGGATAGAGGGAGTATCCAATTGTGATGTGACCTGGATCCAACCTTCATGTATAAAAACAAAATTCTTAGTTTTAAAGCAGTGAAAGCCAGTGAATAGGAAAGCTCATCTGTAAATAAATATATATTGTGTTCTCAATGGGTTGGTTCTTCGATTCTTCTCCAGCTTCTACGACAAAGGCATCTGATACGATAGATTCTTTTGACCAGTGTGAAAACACTGTCAAGAACTGGGCATCTTCTTCCCTTGAATCAGAAATTAGCAGAGACAATCATCAGTTGAGGGACTTGCTATTTTTCCTTCACATACCTAGGACAGGAGGAAGGACATATTTTCACTGGTAATATTTTTAATCTTCTCATTAGTTTCTTGGCAATGGCTGCAAGACTTCACATGCGCTCATGAAATATTAATATTGTTTTTTCTTTCTTTCAATTTTCCTCTTGCAGTTTCCTGAAAAAGCTTTATGCCAACTCTCTGGAGTGTCCACGCTCGTATGATAAGTTAAGGTTTGATCCCAGGTAATAAATTTTTTATTCTTCTATAACTGTTATCCTCTTAGTCACTTTGTGGGCCCACTATAATTTTCTGTCAATAAAGACTCGTTGGGGTAGCATTTGTGTGGGTGACAAACTTTTTGAATGCTCGGGAAAAATGGCCTTAAAGACTTGAACACCCAAAATTTTGATTTTGATTCTTGAAGACTTGAAGTGTCATTTTTAGTTTAATTCAATCATAGAAGGATTTGGAATGCAGTAATCATGTATCTTAGCCTTCCCTATTCAGTACTGTTTGCCTGTTTGGGTAGTGATTACTCAGTTGTTTTGTGGCCAGGCTAGTCGTGGACGCTGTTCGATCTGATTATAAATAAAAAATGAAGATTGCAGTAATGTTGGAAATATTCAGATATATCAAATTTAGATGGATATCTCAGCAAATTTACAATACCAAAATGGAAAATTATGAATGAAAAACATATCTTCCCCAATATTCAGTTTATCCAAAAAAAACTTCATATCATTATCCATTTCTATTGCTTGTACAATGAAATTTCAAATTATCATAAAAGTATCTTGACATTTCTGAACATTTCCACAAAATATCTGTACACTATCCAAAACATTATAATTGTCATCAAAATATTTTATGCAATCTGAATGTAACTATTTAATATTCTGGTCCTACATTACTCAATTACTGAAGAAACAGAACAGCACAACAAGCTACCGTATAGTTCCCATATAACCCAAAAGCACTTTCATGTTCTCTTTTTGGTGTGATGTGCATATAGATGTATATTAATACCAACAATTAGTACTTTTTTTAACATTGAAAGTCAGAAGAATGTGGACATATCAAGGCTGATTTGGATGAATATACAATTTGGCCAAAAAAGTAGAGAATGTTAAAACTTTATCACTGGAAACTGATTTTTTTAAAAAAATATATCTCACGTGCATTTTTTTTTCATTATATATATATATATATATATATATATATATATATATAATGTTTTTCTGAGAGCTATGTATAAGCCTCTCTAAGTTCTACCTTTTTAAATTGCATTTGTGCAGAAAGGCAAACTGTCGATTGTTGGCTACCCATGATGACTACAGTGTGATTTCCAGACTTCCTAAGGATAGAACTTCCGTGGTCACGATTATTAGGAATCCAATTGACCGTGTTTTTAGTGCTTATGAATTTTCATTGGAAGTAGCTGCTAGGTTCTTGGTGCACCCTAACTTAACATCTGCCACTAGAATGTCGGGAAGGGTTCGTTCAACTTCAAAGGGAGTAAGCACCCTAGATATCTGGCCGTGGAAGTATTTGGTTCCTTGGATGAGAGAAGACTTATTTGCTCGAGTATGTTTCTTTCTTAAAATGGCTTTCAGTATTTCATGAAATCTTGAACAGTTCTATATTTTTCATTGTAAGTGCACCACCCCCACATGTAGGGTGAGTTCTGTAGTATTTCAATACTGCTGAAGGTTTCAAAAGAAACACTAACAAATAAAAGAGACCGGCACTGTTTAGAAAATGTGGATATTGTTAAATCACATTTTAAAAAAATCATTTTATTTTGTATTTTGAGAATATTCAACTTGTACACGTACTCATTGTTTCCCAGAAAATAGAATATCGCCCATTTTCTGAACACCCTACACAAACCTCACTATTTTCGATGACAAGATCTTTGAATTAGTGGCTATGGAAATGCTTTGACCACTTGTTTGAATTTGTGGTTCTGCCATTTGCATCAGCTGTGAATATTCTGGTAATTGCCAGTTTGCCATCACTTGTTTTCTGAGATATCCATTTGATATTGTTCTCCTGTTTCTGCATGAACACTTGTGTCTAAATAACTTGAAATAATCTTTTTAGCCCTTATACTAAATGTTAGTATGGTCTTTGTTGAAGTTTGGGAGCGTCAAAGGGTTGAACTCGTAAACGTATCTTTTATCAAATAAAAAAAGTATGTAGTAGCCCTTATCTGTATATACATATTGCCTAATTCCAGTGGTTGTTTCCTAATCTAGAAAATTATGAAAAATAAGATTTTCAGACATCAATGGGTTGCACCCAATACTTCCAAATTACTGTTTCATTTTTCTTTGAGTATTTTATATGCATTGCATGTCTTGCCTTATGATCATGCAATGTAATTTGACTACAGAGAGAAGCTAGAACACGTAGAGGCAAAACGATTATCAATGGAAATGATCCTTACAATATGGAAGATATTGTGATGCCGTTGCACAAATATATCAATGACCCCATGGCTTGGGATATCATCCAGAATGGGGCCACATTTCAGGTACCACTATAGCACTGCTTTGTACACACTGATGCATATTCTTCAAAGATTGCATAGCCATTCATTTTTTGTCTTTCCTTTTTTTTTTTTTTTTGTAATTTTCACCTTGGGTGGGGCTGTGGGTGGATGCAATGACTAAGATGATAAGATAAGAGTAAATTCCATAAAAGGTCCCTAATTACAAGTTCCTATATGTGGAGAAACTATTTTGTCATATTTGGCCTAAAAGACTATTTACGGAATAGTTTTCAAAAATTGAGGACCATTTATGTAATATTTTAGAATTGGAGATTAAATATGGAAAACCATGAATAATTAGGGACCATTTATGGAAGTTACTCATATGATAATTTATCTTTAGCTGGCAAAAACAGGTCATTTAATTTCTGCAATGCACTAGAAGATGGTTCGTTCTGCCTGATAGGTGTCTGATCAATATAGGTTGCAGGACTCACAAACAATTCTTATGTGGCAGTGTCTCATCACGTGCGCCGTTGTGTCCTGAAGTATCGGAGTCTGGGTCAGTACGTACTTGAAGTCGCAAAGGTAATTAATTACTTGAAGTCTGCAAAGGTAATTAATCTTTTTCTCCTCTCCTCCATAGTTTCATGCATATCAAATCTTGCAGAAGAGGTTGGATGGAATGTTGTATGTGGGAATCACTGAGAACCACAAAGAGTCTGCCACCATGTTTGCAAATGTAGTTGGTACTCAGGTGATTTCCCAGCTAACTCCATCAAGCTTTGTAAAAAGCACTGCAGCATCTTCCAACAATTCAGGTCAGTCGTCTATGTGCCCCTTTTGGCAACCCTTTTGAAAGGGGGTACCCAATGGCAACGTTTCAGTTTTGTTTTTTCCAAAAAATCTGTTCTACTTGCTAATCTTTATCGTGTTTTTTAACAAAGAAAAACGTCGATTGCTATTTTCTTAATAATAATAATAATAATAATAATGTTACTTACTGGCTGCACCGCAGAAAAAATCAGTCCTTCCGGAGATTCTGCTTCTGACACAGAGGTAATAATAGGTTTCATCATATTTTTGTGTCTTCAAATGATTAATACTGGGTAATATTAATAACGCCTTAACTTCTGGCACCGAAGACGAAATTTAGCCATAATGAAATGTTTTTGATGTTTTCATGTTCATGAGATGATAACAGATGACTGCAGAAAAACTTATTGAAGCGTATGAGGGCTGCGTTTCGAGCCTACGCTCATCTCAGTCACAAAGAAGAGCAAAGTCACTGATGAGAATATCTCCTGCAAATTTTACAAAAGAGGTATGTACCTAAAATAGTTGTACCTTCCCAAATTTGAAGGGTTGTACCTTCCCGCGGTATGGGCTTGTTCTCTTCACCTGATCTGATTGGAATAAGTTCTGTATTTGATGTGATCTGGTTTGATTTGAACTGAACTGATTCCAATAAGAAAAAGTAATAAGGATAAGTTGAAGAGAACAGGCTTTAAATCTTTCTTTATCTCCCCGTCTTAATTTATCTCTCTTTTAATTGAGGATTGAAATTTAATAAGAGCCTGAAAATTTGAACAGGCTCGCCGTCGGATTCCAGCACAACTCATCCAGGAGATAGCATCACTAAACAGCCTGGACATGGAACTCTATGAGTATGCACAAGTCATCTTTGAAAGGCAAAAAAACCAAGTCGGAGTGCGGAGAGCGGAGTTTGGTGTAAGTTCCCCCCCCCCACCCCCACCCCCACCCCACCCCTCACCCCTGCTAGTCTGAGGCGTGCATGCGATAAAAGCTTTAGAACTTAGAATTGGGTACTGGTTTCTCAACTGGACCATAAGACACTTGGGTCAAACCATACTGAGGCCATGTTTGATGAGCATCCAAAATACTTTCATTTCAAATTTCAGAACCCATATTTTTTTTCTTCCAGATTTCAGAACACATAGCATAACGACTCTCAAAAACCCACCAAACGGGACCCGAAAAGACCGAACCTATACGGTCATTATCCGGGCGGACGATCCTCTATATGTTTTTTCTTCATACGTTGCAGGCGGATCACGGAAAACTGGGGAGCGGTTGGGATGACGTGGCGGCGGCCGCCTCATGGAGACTCCTTTGTTTTGCATCCCCTTTTGTGTTGGTGTCACTCTGTCTTTTCATCTTTGTAAGTGCAAAACGAAGATCAGTGTCAAAGGTTAAATTATGAACAAACGTGACTTTGACTTGAGTCCCTAATTAAGAAAGAAAGAGAAAACACATACGTATTATACACATTTGGGGAATTAGTTCAGACCATTATTTTATAATTCAACCAACATTTGATTGATTGATTGATGATAATGGCAAAAATATCTAATCTAACTTCTGCTAATCTTTGCAATTTTCCGGCATCATTATCATTGTTATGAAACATTCTTAAATACGTAGTACACATGATTGTATACTCTATTATTATTGTTGTTGTTTTTAGTACTCTCTATTATTATTATTATTATTATTATTATTATTATTATTATTATTATTATTATTATTATTATTATTATTATTATTATTATTATTATTATTATTATTCACTTCTTTTGACAACAAAAATTGTTATTGACAACAATCGTGTTTATTCAAAAAATTGATGGTTCTTACTAACTCACTAAACCCTCATCCGCTCTCTGTGCCTCCCATAGTCCCACTCCACCAACCCTTATGTCCCCTCTCCAAAACACCGATTGGCTAAGTGTTACTGGGGTGGGCGTTAGGTGGATAAGAACCATCAATTTTTTTTTAACGAGTCACCGTAGCAATATTTATTATAATATGACAATAATTCTTGTTGTCAAAAGAAGGGAGTGTTACTATTATTATCATTAACTTTTATTATTATTAATTATTAATTGTTAATTATTATTATCATTATTCGAATCTTTGAAATTGTGGAGCAAAAAATACATAAACGAGGTGAAACCGTCAAAGGGCGCAATGAATGTGCCTTTGTTTACAAGTGCCCATCGTTATTCGTTACCCCAAAAAAAAAAAAAATTGAACCCATACGTATATCCATAGCTCCGATCCACTCAAAAATATAATTAAATATAATATAATAAAATAAATACAACATTATTATTTTTATTATTATTATTATTCATTGAAGTAACATGCATTGGTACAACTCCATATTGGTCCACCCCAAACCCACCACACTTATAATGCAACTATTTCGGTGCTCTTTTAACACGTCCAATATGTTTTGACTATGGTATTTTAAAAAAAAATCCATTTAATTAGGCTTTGCAAAATTTGTGTGTATAGAATTATTTTATAATTATCCAAAATTTTCTTGTACATGTTGTGTACATCTAATCTCTCCTTGTCTTGCATGACACAAAAAATTTTGAGGCATTGAGATAAAGTTATTGTTATTTACCGTACAGTTACACATAAAAATGTATTCGAATTTGGAGTGCTCATGATTGTACTTTCATAATAATTAACAATTTAATTAAACATTACTTTCTCTTGTACTTTGGTAGTGTATTCATCCCGTTTGACTTTTTTATTAAGCTGGACGAAGTTTAATTATCAATTACTCCGTACAATAGATTTGCAATACATATTTAAATAAGAAACGAAATGCATTTCTCGATAGTTTTCACAAGATAAATCTAATGAAATATTTTTAGTGTTGTAAGATATATGTAGTACAGAGTAATATTTACTCAATTGGTGAGGTTTGTAGAGTTTAATTTGAAAAATTCAAATTGAACAAATACGAAAGTATTTAGCAAAAGTTAACACACTTGAAATGGACCATTGTTTTGGAAAGAGAGAGTAAGCACATTCTTTTTATTTGAAAAGTTTACTTCAAAAAGAAAAGAATGATTTTACATAATAGGGAGTATTCACTATGATTAAAATGGTAAATAAAAAAAATATATTCTCGTAAGTCGTAAATAGCTTAGACCACTTAAGTAGTGAAATACTCATTTTTCTCTGAAGTGAATTACTCATTTGTTATTCTATTAAATTTTATTCACTTTATTTATTTATTTTAATATTCATTTCTAAATTATAAATTCTATATTTGAATTTTATGTTTATCATTAAATAAATTGAATTAAATATAATTTTAATATATTATAAATGAGAATGAAAATTCATTTGGGGTATGTTATATTGTTATCCCACCAAAAGGTAGGGAGTAAATGTTTTTTCCTTGCCGAAAAAAAGTAAATGTAAATTTAGAATAAATATATACTCCCAATTTTTACCAAAGAATGGTATTTTTCGTGTTAGGTGTAAAAATCATGACAAAATGTCTCACCGACTAAACGTGTTCTTCAAATTGTTTCGCTAATTTCCAGAACATAAAATCCAGAAAAAAAATTTAAAACTCAATATTTCAAAAAGAAATAAAATAAAATAAAAGAACATTATTTCTTTCCCAATAAGGCCATTTCTATCTTCTTCTTTGCCCTACATATCCTCTTCTTCTTCTTCCTCTTTCCTTTCTCCTCTCTGCAAAATCCAAAACCTCCTCAAAAAGTGCAATGTCTTGCGCCACTGAATAGGCTCTGCGGTCAGTACTCTTTCTTCTCCGCCCAAATTAGTGAAAACCCATATTTCTTTCAGTACCCATTTCTTACTTTTCTATAAAGTTTCCATTTTCGGTGTGCTTTAAGGTTTTCCCCCACCCCCTTTTCTTCTCTGGTGAGTTCTTGAGAAATTTTGCCTGGTAAAATGTAGACAGTTTTTTGTCTAACTTTAATTGTTCTTCTGTTGCAAAGTGGAGAAGCAATTTGGGTATTTATAGTGTCGCATTTCTTAGCAGCCAAACAGGGCACAGAGTTCTTCTTCTGTGTTTCTCTGCTCTCCGGCTTGTGCCGGAGACTGGACGGAAAACGCCAAAACGGTGTCGTATTTTGTTTACAAGAACAGAAATTACTCTCATTCACCCACTTTTTTTAACCGCGTGATTTTGTTGGTAATAACCATTTTTGCCCTTTTGGAGTGCTTATTGTTTTACTACTAATTGATTTATGTTCGGATTGTGTTAATTAGGTGTATTCCTAGTGCAATTAGCCTTGTTGCACACAAGAATGACTAAAGGTTCATTCTGTAGAGGAGAAGGGTTCTGCTTAGGGCCTGTTTGGTTCACTTTATAGTTTGAGTTAGGACCAAACCAAATGAGGCCTGATAACATGATAAGTATTTGGTTTGATTTTATATTTGCATTACATGTTGTTATCCAACAAGGTTTTTTGTGCGAATAGGACGAGGATAATGTTACATATAGATGATATGTTGTCGCAGTCAAATTTAAGTTTAATTTTGTTGTTGTTGTGAAGAAGAAAACATAGAAACCGAATGTTTGAGTCGGGGGTCTCCTGGAAACAGGCTCTCTACTTCCATGTAGAGGTAGGGTCTGCTTACATAAACCCTCTTTAGACCCTACTTTTGTGGGATTTTACTGGGTTTGTCGTTGTTGTTGTTGTTGTTGTTGTGTTTATGACAGTCTTATAGGATGAGTTAATGGAATTTGCATTTGTTTTTCAGAAGATGAGTGTGGTTGAAAGTGGTTGTTTGGATGGGATAACGAATGGGTGTGACAATTTCCCGGACTTGCTGAACATATTGGATTTCCCTGAGGAGGAGAGTTTGGAAGGAGACGAGTTGCTTGGGGATTGGGATGCTAATTTGTTGCAGTCCCTCGGACCAATCCCTTCGGAGGCTTTGATGCTGTCTCCTCCACTGCCTAAGCCCAATGTTGACAATCGCTGTTTGAGGACAGCATTCAAGTCCAAGGCTTTTGTGAGTCTCTCTCTTTTTGTTTCTTTTTTACCATAATTAATTGCTTCTGCTAATGTTCTTGCTGTCTTATTTTCACATAAATGATGTTTTGTTGTTTGGGTTTAGTTGTCTGCTTTCTTCTTTTCGCTTGTCCATGATTAGTTGTCCGCCTTCTATGTTCATATTCGATAAAGATAATATGATGAATTGTCTAAAATGTCCTACAGATTGGGTGGGTATGAGCATTTGAAGGACATTTTTGACATTTGTAAACGTATTTCTGATGTAGAAACATCATATTGGCCTGCAAAATCAACAATACTAGGAGACCTCTCTCTTCACCATTAGATATAGTGTTGAACCCTCTTCTAGACCATCTTTCCGGTAAGAAAACCGTTCACTTAGGGCATGTTTGGAGAAGGCTTAGTCTATACCTTGAATATTTGTTTTTATAGATTTTATGAAAATTGAAAGATCAACATTATATGTGGTTGTTTATTTGTATACTATATCAATCACCTTATAATTTCTTTTAGAAACACCATATTGGGCCAAGATATAAACCTTAGCCCTCCAAAAATCTTCACCCAAAGATCATTAGTTGATGTTATTAATGATTTATGTTTCCCTTTCAGAAAACTTGCAATGTTTTGGCAATTTAACCCACAACCTTTCAAGAAAATGTGACAAGTTGAGGAAAAAAAGAAGAAAAAAGACAGATAGAAAAGTGGGAAAAAAAAGGAACAGATGAAACATGTAAATCATGCATACATGGGGAAATGAAATTTTTGGACAGTGGAATGTCATGTCTGCCCCTAATGGATTGAAATGGTGGTGTTTAAGCAGTCTCTGTTTCCAAGAAATATTACAATTCTTTTACGTAATTTCGCGCATTAGCAGAATGAGCTGATTATGGCTACTAAACGGAGCCTTATTGTGGATCGAGGCTCCGTTTGGCATTAGCTTCAGCATTTTGAAAATGCCATCCAACGTTAACTTTTACCTTTGGTATTTTCCAAGCTAATTTGCATCATTAAAAGATTAACCTGACCTGTTTTTTAGTATAAAATGTTAAAAAAAAAAAGCTCTATATTTGATCACTTTTTCATTTGCTTTTCTTGTTCTTGATTTCCTGACCTGCCTTGAACCATAAGGAGGAAACCTCAGGTGCTACACTTCTCTATCCAAGTACATATTTTGAAGGCCGGAAGTCCCGTTTGTTCCAGACGCAGAGCCCGGTATCCGTCCTAGAGAACACCGTTCCGATCAAACCCGACTTGCTCATCCCGGTACGCACCCGATCCAAACGTGCCCGGCCCGCTCTCAACCCGTGGACTCTCATCCCTCCGCCCGTCCCACCCGCTTCCCGCCCAAGGAAAAAGAGGCGGGCGAGGAAGATGATGTCATCGCCGCCATCACCACTCAACCAGGGCGCGAACTCATCGGACCCGCAATCATCCGGGGTCAGGAGATGCGCGCACTGCCAAGTCACCAAGACGCCGCAGTGGCGGGAGGGGCCGGCGGGGCCCACGACGCTGTGCAACGCTTGCGGGGTCCGGTACCGCTCCGGGCGGCTTTTCCCGGAGTACCGGCCCGTGGCTAGCCCGACGTTCGTCCCGGAGCTGCACTCTAACTCACACAGGAAGGTTGTTGAGATGAGGAGGAGAGCTGGTGTGGAGGGGACAGCAGCAGATGGCCAAGAGTTGAAGGTGGTGTGTGAGAGAGTGTGGTTAGGGGTAGAAAGGGGATAGTGATATTTCATCAAACCATGTGTTTGTTTGTGTTCTATTGTTTGAGGTTAAGTTTCTTTAGAAGGGAGATGTTTGTGTGCTGATGATGATCACTCCAACCAGTTTTGTACAAATTTGTTGTGGACTAAAAGAGTTTGGATGTTCTTATTATTGCTTTTTTCAGGATAAAAAGTGTATACTTTGTGTCCCATAAATTTTTTTTTTACCAAAACAAAAGTATATTATTTTTATAAGGGTAAAAAGGGAAATTGTGGGCCATAGTATTCATTTTTTAAATAGGAGTAAGAAATACTCGTATAAAAGTAGTATTTTAATCACCAAACTTTTACTTACCTTGTGTTTTTTATTTCTCATCTCTCTTTGAAGCATTACATCAAACACTTCGCATTCAATTAGGATACTAGATCTTGGGCCTTTTCTCTATTATTATACGGAGTATTGTTCCAAATGGGTTCCAATTTTTTTTTTTATAGGAAGGCTATTCAGATAACTAAGAGTCACATTCTAAGACCTAACTTGTAATATATTTATTGGGCCTATTTCCTTTCAATTGGCCTGATTTTTTATTTTGGGCTTTGGTTGGGCTTGGGTTTGATTTGTTTTCTTAATGTGTGGTGTGTGCCTATATATTTGTGTATGTAAAGATCATATGATTATGAACTTTGATATGATTTACCAAATACAACAAATCCAATAAAGTTCTATAAAAATAAGTTTGGAAAGGGTGGGTATGCAAACATTAAGTCTACTCGAAAGTATAGAATTTGTTTTTGAGAATATTTTGCATCTGATCTGGTCTAATCTAACAGTAATAAAATTTAAAGATGTTATTGGTTCTCATAAAAGTAATTAATAAGTAAAAAAATAAGCTGAAGAGAATAGTTTAAGGCCTTGTTTGTGAACAACATTTTCGATTAGCGTTAGCGTTTTGGATAAATTTTTATGATATAAATTAATTCTGAAAACGCAAACGCTAAAGGCTACCGTCGGATAGTCTTTTCATAACGCTAACGTTAATCTTTAACGGTGATGCCAAACAGGGCCTATGTGTGCTACTAACACCATCTATTCAGCCTTTCTTATCTCAAAAACATTTTTACATTTGATTCTTTAATCACCAATGTGATAGTTTGATCATTAAGTATGTGTTTACCTAAATAAATATTATAGAAAACTAGGTCGTGAAAATGACTTTGTACATTTTGGAGGTCGCAAACTATTTATTAACTACATATTCCCTTTCTTAGGGGCTGTTTGGTAACTTCTGAATAGGTAAGTGCTGAACCAGTAAGAGGTCTGAACCATTAAGTGCTGAACCATTAAGAGCTAGTATATTGCTTAACTGTTCAGAGGCAAATGTTTGATCAATTCAGATAAAAGCTCTTAACCATTCAGACTCTGTATAATACTTAATCATTCAGAGGCAAATCTCTTAACCATTCAGACATCTGAACCATTAAGAGGCTGAAACAAACAGACTGAACCATTAAGTGCTGAATCATTCAGACATCTGAACCATTAAGAGGCTGAAACAAACAGCCCCTTAGTTATCTCAAATCAATATTCATAGTCCTTTGATTTTTAATAACTTAAAGGATATGTGGGTTACAACGATTTTCTTTGTTTTAAATAAATTTCAGTCACTCTCTTTTTATTTTTTAAGAGTTTTTTTAGATAGTGTAAACATAAAATGTTACAAATAATCTGGACAAGTATTGCCTTATGAAGTTTGTTCAGATTATGGAGGATTTCAGGAAAAGATAATGAAGCATTCGAATACTAAAATCAGTACTCAACTACTAACATTCAAGAAAATTTACGTAAAATATGAGACCTCAATTGGACCAGGGGGAGGGAGGGAGTGGGACGAAAAATCATCAATTTTTCAAATGACACGTCGTAGGGGTCCAATTGAAGCCAATATCATATCATAGCATGGCATTAACTCCTCATGCCAAGTGAATAATGCTGATTATACTTGCTGCTATTTTACAAAACGTCTTATGTATTTGAAGTTTCAAAGTAGCACCTTGAATTAAATTTCCGACATAATTAAATTTCATTCTTCACAAGAGATTGCTTATTATTAAGCTATTTCAAATCCTTCTAAATGTAGATAAGAGTCCCAAAGACGACATTAATCTCTATACTTATTTGAGAGTCTTAAAAAAGCTTTAATGTTTACCTTTTGCATTTAAAATGGGAATCATTAAAACAAAACTAACAAGGTAAGTGTAAGGAATATAATCTCAAAAGCAAAGGTTATATTTAAGACAATCCACTCTTTGGGATGATCAAAGCACTTAAAATGGGTAGCACTAAAACAAGTGTAATCAATCTAAACACTAAAGGTAGACCGGACCATAAGATATCTTGTCTGAATTTTTATTAAACATTTTAATCCAATTGATTTGTAGTCGGTTCAACTCAAGACTTTTTTGGAGCATTTTCTATAGTGATCCACGGTGTATATCATTAAAAAAACTTATTTAAAATAATCTCTAGTTAGTTAATCATATCACAAAGGTTCTACATCTTCACGAATGTTATTGTTGATGCAAACAAACATTTTGCTTTTTTTGCATTCGGTGTCTATTCTTAGAATGTCTTGCGAAAGCTGCTTATCGATTCGCCGTTTCGAGATAATTCTTCATCTCCATTGTGACGTTTCTCTTGTACAAATAGCGTAATAAATAAAAGAAAAGGCGAATGTGTATATCCACTCCTCGATCTTAGCTATAGCTTCAAATTCTTTCTTTCTCAACAACGTGTTCATCTTTTAGAGTGGCTCCTACGTACGAACCAGACAAATCTGCAAACGGTATAATTAAACAGATGAAATGCGTGTAGTAGTAATATACGGAGTAGTAGAATAATAATAATACCCAGGATTATATTTGCCACTCCCTTTTGCAGTCCCACGTGTCCTCCTTCACCGTCTATCTTTTCCGTTCCAAAAAAAACGATGAGCCCCGTCCCGGAAGACCTCCCTCAAGACCCGGCTGGACGGTCACTGAGAGGAAGTAAATTGAACTTTAATCGCAGATTGATGTCAAAGAGTGGAGCTTGCACCTGGTACTTGTAGAGGCCGTATGCTTAGCATTGTTGCCTTTCAGCGCAGTTGCCAGTAATCAAACTCGAGTCTTACCCCCTTGGCACCCCTTGTTTTGCCAACTGCGCAATGCCCCCGGCTTCGTTTCCATTCCAGATTATATTATGACTCTGTTTTTTAAGGATTTTTATCAGTAAATTTATGCTCGTAATTGGTCATTTATAATAAGAGTTTTTTATACGGAGTATTTAGTTTTGTAATATCAAATATTATGTTCGTGGTCCTTTTATGGATACGTTTCTATGGGTAATTTTTTTAAACCTTCTATCATGTTGGCGTCAAACTGAACGAAAGACCCTGTATCCAGTAATGTGGTGTGATGATTTACGCCGCGTCTTGATGAACAACTACATAGCAATAATGATTATAATTATGGACTAGGATTCAGAATAGACGTTACATGCATTTGTAGACTGTGACAAAAAGCGGCAGCAATTCCAGTTGACAAATAATGATACATCTGCAGTGACACTTGCTTGGCTATGACAAGAAAGATACTCCCTCCGTCCGGAAATGTTCTTCACATTTGATTTTTCTTGGTCAAAGTTCATAAACTTTGACTACGATTTGTGGAAAAAATACATTGTATTATAATGTAAATTTAATATCAATATATTCATAATGAAACGTAGTTTTCAAATATCAATTTTTTATAAAATATATCTATGTACAAATATAGATATTAATGGTCAAAGTGCAATATTGGAGACCGTGAAAAGTCAAATGGGAAGAACATTTCCGGACGGAGGGAGTATATGATTGTTGATAAATTATACTTACATGCATCAATTTAACACCAACGAGACAAAGTGCACCTATAAAAGAAGAACCACGCGCGAACGTAATATCTGATAGTACTCCGTAAATGATTAAATATGAAAAAATTCTTCGATCAATTATAGGATTACTCATACTTTAATTTGGCTTTTTTGAAAAAGTTTAACCAGCACGAGTGACGACCTTTAACACGCCCTGTAATTACTAATTATTGATTCTAATTAACCTTCTCGAAAACAGCAAAAATGTGTAGTAAAAAAAGATGCATGTTTGGCGCGCATGTGGGAGTGAGGCATGTTTTTTTTACTCTTTTTCAAAGCTTGTGTTTCCTTCCAAAGTATAAATCAATACAACAGCTGTTGATCTTTTTGACTTCCTCATTTATCATCCGGGGTAAATTGGAACTTCTATTCATAAATTGGAGTAATTAATTACCTGTTTAGGCAGCATTCTGTTCAACTTATTTTTTCTGTTTATTAATTACTTATTTTTATTATAATCAGATCAGATCAGACCAGACTAGATCAAAAACAATTTTAATTATAACTATAATCAGATCAGATCAATCCATATCAGATCAGATCACATCAGATCAGACAAACGGAATGCAACCTTAGTAGGAGGGTAAACTACTCCCTCCGTCCGGAAATATTCTTCCCTTATTGACTTAGCACGCTTATTAAAAAATAGTAAAAAAATGCAAAATTTTCAAAAATGCACATACTATAAACTTTTAAATTTCCTTTTATTATTAAAAAAAGTACTAAAAAAGTAGATTTATGATAAAATAGAAGGGTATTATTGATATTTATCTTTAAAAAGTGTACTAAAAAAGGAAATGTGAAGAATATTTTCGGACGCACCAAAAAGGAAAGTGGCAGAAATATTTCCGGACGGAGGGAGTATAATTTAACACAAGACCAATAGCTAATAAGAGGTCATGTGTTCAAATCCCGACCCAGTAGGAGCGATAACTCTCTGATCTTCAATATATTGAAAATATATAAACAACTATTATCTTGTGATAGAGTTATTAGTATTCACAAAAAAAATAGAAGGCTAAAAAGCACTATAAATAAAATATTAAACGTTGAAAAAATTTCTAAAAAAAACAAAAAAATATCCAAATATTGTCCCATATTTTTCATATATCGTCATTTAAATTATCGGTACACCGTTTTTTTATTTTTAAAAGTATTGGATTATTGATAGAATATTTGCTTACAAAATGTTATATACGTCATAAAAATAAAAGAATTATTGTACATCTCTAGTTGAAAGAAAAAAAGAATGTCCGACAACAATGTAGAAACTTTTTAAAGTAATTTTGATGTTAAATTAAAACATTACTTTAATTAAGGAAAGGACCACTTGATGAAAGCATCCCAAAAGCTATAGTTTGTTGCATCATACGAGTACAAACATTTAATTAACTTTTTATTTAAGGACAAACATTTAATTAATTAACTTGATGTAGATATTTCACTCTCTTTAATTAAATAGAAGTAAGTAAATTAATTGCTTTTTTTATGAATACAACTTTACAAATTTAAAAGTGAATTGAACCAACAAGTCAAATAATTACTCCGTAATAAACTATAGCTAGCCTCTTATTGTTATCCATTTATTTTCAGTTAAGTTTATTGCTTTTATTTTAGTTTAACACATAATTTTTTTTTAAAATTACACTTGATACTTGTTTAGCTTTCAGTTTAATACATTTCAGTTAATTTAGAAAATTCAAGTGAAAAAGAATGAATATGCTATTAAAAATGATTTATTACTTCTGAATAATTTAGTCTTGGGTTTCTCTCCTTTTTTTAAAAAAACAATACGGAGTAAAATGATTTCTTACTTATGGATCAATTTTTAATTTTTTTTTCCTTCAAAATCTATTCATTCAAAGTTTTCTCTCTATTTTCCATCATATATTTTCAAAAGACCATATGAGAATTCTTATACTATTATTTCATTTTAGGACTGAATAAAAGGAAGTTAATTATTTCATTTATAAAAGAAAAAGGATAAACCTTATATGAAATCATAAAGAGGACAAAAATCAATTTATAAGTGTACTTACACAAAGTTTGGGCTAAAACAAATAGTAAAAGTTGTTGAAAGGGGCCATTATTGTGTACTTAATTGGCTTTGAAGTGGCTTGTCTCTTATACTTTCCTAACTTTAATTAGTCCTAACTTAGCTTTTGCATGTGTGATGTATATATATAAACCAATAAATATGGGCTTTTATTATTCATGGAGACCCACAAATATGGAGAAAGTTGGAATTTGTTGTCATTTTTTTCTTTTCATGTGTGCCCACTTTTTATTAATGGATAATTGCCCCTTAATCAATTTTAAAATTTCAATAAAATTGTTTGCTCATACTTTGCAATTCAAGTAGGATTTTATGTGAATAGTCTTCATTATATTGCTAGCTTTTCGGAGGACATACGCACAATATAATTTAGTGAAATTTGCACTAAATAGGACTAAAACATAATGACTTTCCTAATGTAGGACTTAAACTTTTTTATTCCCTAAATAGGACTTATTAATGACCTAGTGGAAGGAATAATGTCCAGTAACGATGGACATTTAGTTGAATAATGACTACTTGATAATGACCAAAGGTCCTACATTGGGAAATAAAAACATATGGTCATATATTGGGAAAGTCATTATGTTTTAGTCCTATTTAGGTAAATTTCTCTATAATTTATGTGTTATTTCTAAAATTTTAAAAATTGTACTTGATGAATAATGACTCAACAAAGCCTAGCTCGTTTTTTGCATCTTCAAAAAATAAATAAATAATTCATTAAATAATTCATTTTTTTATATCATAATTCATTAAATAATTATTTCACTTGATCTGAATCTCAATTTCACACGGAATGTTTTGATTTTCAAACATCAACCTTAAGGGCCTGTTTGGAAATTTATAGTGTCAGAGATTGGCGTCAACGTTTTGGATAAAATTTTAACGGTGCATATTACTTTGAAAATGCCAACGCTAAACACTGTCTGTTGATATCGTTTTCAAAACGCTAACGCTAATCTCTAAAGTTATTTTCAAAGATACCCTAAATTATCAAAATGCTAACACTAATCAGTTCTCGTTCTTAATTGAATTAACATCTTATCCAATTAAAATATTTTGATATATTCTTAAAAGTTGATTTATTTATACGATAAAATTTATAATTTATATACTAAAAATAAATAATGATGAGAACTCGTATACGATTCTCAAATTTACCTGCATCATAAAAGCACTTCCTAACTAATTTATTTAGATTGTATTTATCTTTTTCGTACATGGATTTGCTTTGGTTTAAATTTAGCTAAAGAACAAGAAAACATAAAATAATGAAAATAGGTAACGATGTTTGTCGGGGCATCCAAACACGACCTAATGCCGATTCATAGATTCATAGCCTTCCATATCTAGCCGGTTCTAGGTGTTGTTAGATGTTAACCCAGGTTAAAATGCTGACAGTGATTTTTTTTGCCATTTTTAACCTGGAGTAAAAAATCCCCACCCTGTCCCTAAGTCAATTACTGTTCTCGCCCCCATATAGAAGCAGAGTCAGTATAAAACACTGTCACTTCCCAATCAATGTGTCGTTATTCTTTTTTACAAATATTACCCATGTTCCTAAATATATCTCACATTTCTATTATTGAGGTAAAATATTAAATTTTTTTATTTCGTTTTATTTATATTTTGGTATATAAATAAAAAATAAAATTTACATATCAAAAAACTACATGAAATTTTTTTTGAAATAAGAGGTGTCAAGAATATTTTATTTTATCAAATAATCAATAAAAACGTAAAAATAAACAAAAGTTCCCGCGAGTGCTAAAAAAGCAAATGTGAGATATATTTAGGGACGGAGGAAGTAAAAAAAGGAGCATGCTACACGTACCCCACAATTTGTACCTCATTTGTATACCAAATGTATGCACCAACATTTTGATGGTTCACACAAACACAAAGTGTTGGTGCGTTAACAAAAAATTACACTGACACAAAGTATTGGCATGCTAACAAAATTTAACATTACATCAACGCAAAATGTTGGTGCATTCCTGTAAGGTACAAATTCTTAGGATACAAATAGTATTATCCAAAAAAATTGAACCAAAACCCTCTTTTCTCTTACACTTTTTTACGAATTGGATCAAAATAGGACCATGTTAGGGTGCGCCAAATAGTTGCTAACTTGCTATCATGAGTGCAATCAAGCTTCTCACAATAATCATCTATGTGACACATATGATTATCATCTGTACGAAATTTGGGTGCACCAATAATAGCAATCCTTTGAGGGCACACTAGCATTTTTATTCAAAATAATAATTCTTCATTTTTTAAATTAATTTTCTTGTTTTTTTCTTCTACACAAATTTTAATTGTTTATTTTCTATTTTTCCATTACACTCACATATTACACTGTCATTTCTTTTTCATCATAGAACCAACATTGTACTTTTATACTACAATGTTATTTTACTCTTATTGTAATCTTAAAAAGACTTAAAACTTTTATTTTGTATTTTCATACTTTTTTTAGTCCAATAGATTTGTTTTTAATTTTGGGCTTCATTACCTGCCATCATCATTACTCTACGGAGTCCTCGGAGGATTATTATTATTACTAAACCGCTCTGTCTCTATCTAACAACACATCGATTTATATATATATGTATATATCTATATATATGTATATATATGCAGAGAGAGAAAATAGAGAGAGAGGTGGCAATATAAATACCCCCAAACCGCAGAGAAAGATGCTACAGGGCAGAAAGCGACTCGGAACCATAATTCCCATTTATTACTCCTCAAGTATAAATTAGCATAAATTCTCCATTTTAATTTTAATTTTTAATTTCTTAATTTTTTTTTTTTGAAATATTCTCTCACACTACTGTTTGAGGAGAGAGCAAAGAGTGTGAGAGTGTATGGCGATTTCTCAGGCGTTCTGTTGCTGTTTTCTGTTGAGTGCCTGAGCAATTTCGTCGCCGTCTCCCTCCCATTTTTCTGCTCCCTTCGCACCTCATCCCTTCCCCTCCGGCGACTTTCTCTCTCTCTGTTTTCTTCTTCTTCTCCTTATTCTGCGTGAGGTGTTACCGACTGACATTCGCCGATGCGATGTCCGTGCAGGGATTTCCAGGATTAGGCCTCGCGGCGCCGGAACAGTGAGTGTTTCAGTTCGGCGGGACGGCGGCCAGGAGAGTTGAGTCCGAGTGTTGGCGGGGCTTCGTCGGCGGCGATGCGTTTTTTTTGTTGTTGCGCGGACTGAGTCGTCGATTTTGGTGAACTTCTGCCGGCTTAGGGTTTGATTTCGTGGAGGCGACGCGTTTGTCCGTATGCTGAGTGTCCGAGTTCGCCTGGACTGCTTTGTTCCGTCGGACCGCGATTTTCACGGAACCGAGTCGCTTTTCCGCCGGCGATTCTCTATTTGATTCTGGTATGTTTGCTTCGACGATCTTCTTCTCTCGCATCCGCCCTGTTTATCTCTGTTTCCATTTGAGGTTCTCTGTTCGTGATTTCACCCCATTCTGGAATAATTCTTACTGCAATTTCGGTGTTCGCGTTTAATTTTTTGTGTATTGGACTCTTATTTTACTTCGTTCGTTTTTTAAATCTCTAGCTCTCTCGTAGTCTCGTGTCAGTTTCGTTGTTTTTTTTAATTGAAATTATTGGAAATTGTGTTTCTGTGATTGATAGTGTCCTGAAGCGGAGGGTGAAATTCAACAGAGCCTCGTTTTTTGCATCTTCAACAGAATAATCAGAGAAAAGGGCGGAGAACGATGGAGTTGAGTGAAAAGTGTTTGGACTCGGAGTTTTGGCATGCCTGTGCAGGAGGGACGGTTCAGAAGCTTCGGGCGAACTCGAAGGTCTTCTACTTCCCGCAAGGGCATGCAGAGCACACGCTCACTGCCGTAGACTTCTCCAATTTGCCGAAAATTCCCCCGCTGATTCTCTGCAGGGTAGAGGCTGTGAAGTATATGGCAGACCTCGAGTCCGATGAGGTCTATGCTAGGATTAAGCTGGTTCCAATTGCGAGTGATGCCGGCTATGGTGAAGAAGAAGATGATGATGATGAGGTTTCAGGGAGAATTGGACCGGAAACTGCTGAAAAGTCAAACTCCTTTGCCAAGACCCTGACTCAATCTGACGCCAACAATGGTGGTGGCTTCTCTGTTCCTAGGTACTGCGCTGAAACTATCTTCCCACCGTTGGATTACGCGGCTGATCCACCGGTCCAGACTTTGACTGTCAAAGACGTTCACGGTGTGACGTGGAAGTTCAGGCACATTTATAGGGGTACACCCAGGAGGCATTTGCTGACCACAGGTTGGAGTACCTTTGTGAATCACAAGAAGCTGGTTGCTGGGGATTCAATTGTGTTCCTAAGATCAACCACCGGAGAGATTTTCGTTGGAATTCGGAGGGTGAAAAGGGCTAGTTATGGGAGCTCGGACAATACGTCAAGTTGGATCTCTATGGCTGGAAAGTATGGGGCATTTTCATCCTTTATGAGCGAAGATGACAGCAGGATGAAAAGAAGTAGTGGTAGCAATGGAAGCCCGAGTTCTCCAAGTGGGGGGTTTAGGGGAAAGGGAAGAGTGAATCCTCAATCAGTACTTGAAGCTGCATACCATGCTGCTTGTGGGAACCCATTTGAAGTATCTTATTACCCACTTACAAGCACGCCTGATTTTTGTGTTAAGGCTTCATTTGTGTCGTCTGCTATGAGGATCCAATGGTGTCCCAAGATGAGGTTCAAAATGGCCTTTGAAACCGAGGACTCTTCACGAATTAGTTGGTTCTTGGGAACAATAGACTCCGTTCAAGTTATTGATCCCATTCATTGGCCAAATTCACCTTGGCGACTTCTACAGGTAATGCACAGCTCATGTCAATTTATTGTTTGCATTCGAGATAACTTTGTTTCGTTGGTTGAGGTGCATAGTGTCCATCCTGTTTGGATCCTTTTTTGAATGAAAGAATAATTTCAACAAAGATAGTCGCCCGTTTTTAACATGCTTGATGTTATGTATTTACCCCGTAGTAGAGTATTTGTCCGATTTGACTTTATATTAACAAACTCTTCTAGGAGTATGATAAAGTCATGTTGCTAGGAACTTCTGTTCTACTGAATTGCCTAATGGAAATAGTTTTAATGCTAAGTGAAGTATGCAATTTAGTCGGCTTAATAATGGGATTGTATTTATTCGCCCGCATGTTCTGTGCTGCTAATACTTATGACTAGTGTCAAGCTATGCTTGTAACTTATAAAGGGTTACAAACTGAACTATTAGAGTATCTAGGTTTTTGCTATGTTTATTCTCTTCTGAATCATCAGTATAAATGTATATATACACTGCAGGTAATTTGGGACGAACCTGATTTGCTACAGAATGTGAAGCATGTGAGCCCATGGATGGTCGAATTGGTGGCAGCCATGCCCATAATCCATCTCTCGCCTTTCTCTCCTCCAAGGAAAAAGCCGTGTTTACCCCAAGACTTGTCACTTGACGGGCGAGTTCAACTACCGTCGTTTTCAACAAACGCTCCGGGAGCCGGCAGTACATTTTGTTCTTCATCTGACAACTTGTCTGCAGGCATACAGGAAGCCAGGCATATGCAATCGGATCGTCCCTTGATCGATCCCCACCTCAACAACAAACTGTTTTTAGGACTGTCACCACTCGGTACCCACCAAAACAATAACATGAATACTAAGGACCAAGTAGACCGTAGTGAAAACATATCTTGCTCACCTGCCCCAGGGATGACTCCTCGGTTCGTCCTCTTCGGTCAGCCAATTCTCACCGAGCAGCAACTGTCTCATCGTTCACAAAAGAATCTGAAAGAGAATGTTCCTTCAAAGGCAGAGAGATTTCCTTATAATAATAATAATAATAAGAATGATAATAAGAATGATATTATGAAGCGTAAATGCTTTCAGGAAAAGGTACTACTGGGTGCAGGTGCCACACATTTCGGGGACCAAACGCTTCGTCCAGAGAAACTCAGCATTGGTTATGGTGGTGGTCACTGCAAAGTTTTCTTGGGAGCAGAGACTGCGGCAAGATACATTGATCTCTCCACATTGGATTCGTACGAGGAGTTGTACAAAAAACTCGCAAACATGTATGGGATATCATGCTCCTTGATACTGAACCGCGTGATCTACTGCGATTTCATGGGTGCTGTCAAACAAGTAGGAGATGACATATTCAGGTTATATTTAAACTTTTTTCATATCTTCTTCTTTTTGGAATGTTGTTATATTGTGAGGCTGGATATTTGACAAATGGTATCAATTAACTTTGCAGCGAGTTCAAAAGGAAAGCCCAACGATTGACGATACTGGTGAATCCGAACAGCAGCTCTGAGAGGTGAATTTCTGTAGCAAAAAGCAAAAAAAAAAAAACATCCATCCTTTTTATTAAAAAAAAACATTTCTTTAGAGTACTTAAAAGTAGTTCTTTTTTGTGTACTCTAGTGATGTTTGACTTCTAGTTCTATATAATATGCTCAACATTATGGGCAATGCGACCTCATTCTTGCTAGTTGGAGGCAGGAATCTTCTTGTTTTCAGTTAATTGAAGAATCTCTCTTAAAGTTGAAATCATGATTTTTTTAAAAGGGAATGATAAGATCATCATATGACAATGGATTTTCAATTGGCTTCAAGTCTAATAAAGAAAACAGTCTTGCTACAAGGGTGGGGGACCCATTTAGGTGTTTCTATCTCATGTTTTGAACAATTTGTAATGCTTTGGAAATCCTACCTCTACATGTTCTAGGAGGCAGATAGATGGCTTTCCAACAACACAAAGCGGACTAGATTCCTCAAACCAAGCCGGATTTCTCGGGGTATCTGCATAGCACCACCGTACCCCAACCAAATGATGCCGGATTGATCGACACCAGTGGTCGTGTAAATGTTCGAGTGCCTCTGTCTAAGACGCTGGGTTGATTTGCACCGTTCGTTGTGTAGCTTGTTGCGCAGGCCCCGCGTGCATGGTTCGGTAGCATTTGAGATAAAGTATGAACAGTTTCTTGTTCTTGTGTTTATATAGACAAAAAAAAAAGAGTAGTTTAGCAGAATAATGTGGTCATTTATTGCTAGTGTGTGTGTGTGTAGAGAAATGACTCTTGTGGTATGGATGGTTTTTCCCTTTTCTCCCTTTTCTTCTTTCTTTCATATGAATATGGTGAGATGGCGTTTTATTTCTAGTCGTTGTCATTCTCTACCGGCTCTTACCAAACGACTAGGCATGTGTTAAGTATGCTGGCATGTTTGTTCTTTACCATTTTCACTTGCTTCTTTCTCTGATTTGATACCCAAATTATAATACTCTATCCGTCTTCAAAAGAATCTCACCCGAGTTATAATACTTTATCCGTCTTTAAAAGAATCTCACTGTTTGATTTCAAAATCAAGGTTAAAAAATGAAAATTTTGTGGTCGAAATTTACTTGGAAGATTTAGAACTAAAGATGTCCACATTTCTCTTTTCTAAAAGAGAAAGTAGAGAAGTGCGAATTTGGTTTTTACACGTGCATGGAGTATATTTATATATGCATGTGTTTGGTCTGGAGGCGTTAGCTTAGTTAGTTCATATGGGTAAAGAAATGTGTAATTTCCGAGTTCGACTCTTGCTAATGGTGATGAAGGACAACCATGTGTAGCATGTGGTTGTTGCATGTACAATGGACATGTCTTGCTCCCTTTTGGATCAAAAATTTGAAAAATATCATTGTGATGTTACGTGTATTATTCTAATCTTATTCCTTTGTATTTTGTTTAGTTATAGAACATTTTTTATCTTAAAAATTGATCACCTACCCTATTTAAAAATAATGGGTTTTGAAAGAAAAAAATTGTTAGCCAACCCCAAAATAACCTCAAAAATGGGTCAAGCCTGGTTGAACATAGAATTTGAGGTGATCGGCCCGGTGATGACTTGAAAAAAGCTAGTTTGCTACATTTTTTTTGCAATTCCATTCCCTTTTGGAGTAAGTTTTTGATTGTATAAAAAGTTCCAAATCCCAATGCCCTTTGATTGTTTCACCTTGCCAATGCGGATCATGCGTCTTCTAAAAAAAGCCCATTAAAGTGCGGACATTTTTTGGCCTCTGCCCCTTTCAAAGTTCTTCCCCTTTGAGGATTTTGAACGCAATTATCTTTTTTTTGTAGAAAAAAAAACAAAAGAATAAAGTCATCTGTCCTGATAAATTTTATTTTCAATGTTTAAGGCTAGTGTTGAAAACTGTGTTAGAGTTTAGCTTAGAGCATGGGCAGCAGCAAATATTTACATTGCCACGCCCTGCCATTCGTGGAAAGTGAAGCTGTACAATGGGAGAGGGGAAAATTGGATCGCGTGTGATGTCGCGAGCCACTCCAAAAATCGTGGCGAGTGCGAGGCAAAACAGGAACAGCAGAAAGGGGATCTAGGGCAATCATCGGTCACTCCTTTGGGCACTTCTCTTCTCTCTTCCCAGGGAAATCATCCATTGCACCATCGTCTGTCAATCATCGGTGCTCTTTCGCCACCATCGCCGGCCACCATCTTCGACGCGAAAATCATCGGTACCCTCTGCCACTCCATCTCTTGTTTAATTGCTCTGAAAATCACCCATCTCTGTATCTCTGTACCTCTGATATACTCTGATCCGGGACTCCATCTTTTTTCATCCTCACTCTTCAATTTGATATGGAAATTGATATACTCTGATCCGTCTTACTGCATGTGCTATTTTCCCCTCTTTTGAATATGATATGGAAATTGATATACTGCATATTATGTTTACTTGCCACTATAGGATATACCACTCCAATGTCATGCCACACCATGACTAGATTAACTTTGATTGGTTGAACTGTGCCATGTCAGCGTGTGGCATTCCAGAATATGACTTGCTATTGTTCGTGCTCTTAAAGGCTAGTTAATGGTAACTTTGAGTGTTACGGTTTTTAAAGTAAATCTACACTGTTAAAATTTTGTACAAAATGTTAATAGTAATTGAAAATGTTGTTTCAAAACAAAGCATAAAGGTTACTTTATAAATAAAAAAGGAGTAAATTTTTTAAATGGACCTTTATAATATGAGATTTTCCATATTTAGTCTCATGTTCTCAAATATTGTGCTAGAGGCATGTCCTTCTTTTTTGGGTACGTTTTTACAAATTTTTTTTAGGCTTTCTGTCATGCCGGTATCAATTTGAGAACAAAAAATGTAACTTGACATAACTAGATGCAAACTTCATTCTTTGTTACCAATCTACGATCAAAATCTAATTTATTTTCTCTCAGTGATCGTCAGACGAATCTGAGAAAGCGTTCAGAAATATGGCTCCTCCTTACATAAGAGTGGAAAATGTGAACGGATGGAGTAGGGGCTGGTTTACAAAAGGAATAGACCGACAAACTGAAAGACAAAATTATTTTTTGGTTGTTTGGGTCCCGCAACCTCTCACTCACGTGTATCCCGGTCCTACTCGGCCCCACTCTTCTTTTACTCTTTTTTTAGACTAGGGGTGTGCACAATTCGGTAAACCGACCGAACCGTACCGAAACGTACCGAAACCAAATCGAATAATTTGGTTCGGTATTCGATTTTTCTTTTTTCTAAAATTCGGTTTTCGGTTCGGTTCGATTTGGTAATTCGGTAATTCGGTTTTTACCGAATACCAAATTATTACTTCATTTTATTATTTTAAATATTTTGAAGTTTGAATTCTATCTTTGAGTCCTAGCAACTTATATAGTGGTCTACCTTATTTTATCCTTCCTTTTATTGACAATTTTAATTTTTAAAAAATACTTCATATCTAGCTAAATTTACTCATGCTTACTATTTGACTCTTTCTTCTTTAATTATTTTTTTTCATTTATTCTAAATGGTCAATACATTGACCTCACTTTGTAGGGCAATAAATTACCGATGGCTAAAGGTAAGATCTTTTAAACATTTTGATAGAATACTTTTTATATTTTGAATTTTTTATTTCTTTTTTTATATTTCATTTTTTTACAAGATCAAAATCATGTGTTTCGATAATCTTTTAATAATATGAAAAACTAAGTAATTTATGATTAACTATAGCTAAAAATACAAAGTATTTCTAATTTCTTTAAATGTTGAACGAGATTGCTTGTGGTACAAATTGAAAATAAAAAAGTGAAGTATAGATGAAAATAAAATGAAATTTTCGGTTTTTTCGGTATTACCGAATGCCAAACCGAAATAATTTCGGTATTTACCGTACCGAACCGATTTAATACGGTTCGGTATTCGGTACAAATATAATATTACCGAAATTTCGGTTTACCGAAATTTCGGTTCGGTTCGGTTCTGTTTTACCGAATGAACACCCCTATTTTAGACTCATGAAAATATAAAAATAGGAGATCTAAGAAACCAAAGTTGAAGTTTTCATTTTTCAGTGTCATTGTTACCGTCACACTCATCATATTGTCACATTATAACTGTCACACTATCACCACTATATTGTCATCCCTCATCGCCGACCCCTAAATGGTCTCCGCAATTCTTCAATTGTTGACTGACCACACGTACATATTACACTGTCATCATTTTTCCACTACATTGCCAACATGTACTCTTACATCATGCTGCCATTACACCCATATTTTGGTCTTTAAAGACCTTGGACTCCTATTTTGGTACTTTCACACGTTTTTACTCTTATTTAGAAAGATTTCCCTTTCTTTAACGCTATGAAAATTGAGTACTACTTCGTACTTCCTCCGTCCTAATTTAAATCACTCGTTTCAATTTACAATATTTGACTGTCAAATTATTTTATATGAAAAAAATATATAATTAAAAAATAAAAATTACATATTTAAAAAGTATATTAAAATATTTACAAAATTATATTATTTTAGAATAATGCTAGAGTTACAAACAAAACATTCACAAAATTCACAAATTTACCATTTTTGTAAAGTAATGAATTAGAATAATGGTCTCAAATTTGAAAGGGAAAAGAAAATAAAGTAGAAAATGGCGTTTCTTGTTTGGTTAGAGGGAAAAGAAAGAAAGAGTGGAAAGAAAAGAAAATGAGACGGCAAAATGTACCAAGTAGAGGAAAAACCAAATTCCTCCTGTTTTAGTGAGGGAAATGGGAGAAAATCATTTTCTTTTCTTTCTCTTAAATTCTTTGAACCAAACATTTTAATATTGTTTTAGGCATAACACAATGAATGCCTTTGGTTTGCATTACTAGAAAAGTTTATTCTAAATTTTTAAATAAGGTATTTTTAAGTGAGGTCGTTTTAATTTCCAGAATGTTAAATGAGGTTGATTGTGCATTTTGTTAAACATTGATTACGACAACTTCAAAGATTAGTTGAAGTATTGAACATAATATATCCTCTCTTTTTTAACTTTAGATTCGAGTTATTCTGAATCTACTTATCGAATTCAAGGTTTCTAGATTATACATTCCACATTCATAATCTATTTTAGTTTTATACTACTAGTTCATGTTTCAAGTTACAGGAAATCAGATTCCGACCCATTACCATAATATACACTCGTGTTATAGATAAGGCAAAAAAGAATGATCGGATTCTTTTGAAGAGTTTCTAATAATGTTTAGGAATGACACTATCAAATTTATGGTGGGGCGGGCATTTGAAACTAAAATATTATGTTCTAGAATTTTTCTAGAATTTTTTTTTAAAAAATATTGTAACACTCTAATTCCGCAATAACGAGAATGAAAAAAAAATGAGATAATTAACTTCAAGATCAAATAGCACATATATATTAACCCAATTATGGTAAGCTGTGAATGGTAGGGTGGACTATTACAATCACTCCTTTATGTAGCCATTAATACCACTTTCTATTTGTTCTTTGTGGTGGGGCGGGCATTTGAAAAAAAAAGTTGTACTCCCTCCGTTTCCTTTTTTACTTTGGAGAAAATTAAGGAAAGTGTAATTTTAGTTGACTTTCTAATTTTGCCCCTGATGTGATGGTTAAAAGTAAGATGTGATAGTTTAGTTATTAGTGAAAAAGTATGATGTGATAAGTAGGGTATGAAAAAGTAGGGGTAAAAGTGGTTTTTTAATAGAAAAGAGAAGTGTTTTAAGAAAA